AAAATCGCAGCAGAAATCGAAACACATCAGACCATCTTTTTCAATTTTTATTATCCCATTTTTAATATCCTTATCAAATTGTAACCTTAGTTTCTTGTTCTTATCTGAAAAGATTGGGACACTGGTGTGATTTTCTGCTGCTATAGATTTCTACTTCATGATTAGATGTGTTGTGCGTTCAGATATGCTCTTCTGTGTAGCTCTTTCGTAAAGAGTGGTGGTTATTTAAGCTATTGTTTTTTATTTTATAAGCTTGAACCAATTGAACTATTCTCCTTTGACCTCATCAACAACGGATTTTTGCCTACAGTATTGATGTTCACTGAGACGGTTGTGCATGAAGATCCGAGTAGATCAGTAGTTTTTAAATATTCATACCCCCCCGGTCTGGTGCCAATGACCATGTCACGTTCAAAATTACCTTTCTTTCCCATTAATGCATGAAATAAAATTCGTCAGGTCACCATGACCATTTTAAATGCCTATATCTATTAAATTGCTGCCACATCGTGTCGTTAATTAAGAATTTGCATCTGCTCATGTGTATCTAACTGGTCATGAGTATATACTAGTTTTCGGGTTGAACATTGCCAACCTAGTACATAATAGGAGAGAATAGGCGAGTTTTATTTTCAGTTTCTTCCCTTGAGTTAGCGCGGCTATGTATTCTCATCGGACACTTTATTCTTTGTCCCATTTTTTATTAGTTTAATTCCCCTTTCTCTACGATGGTAGGTGACAGACGTCATTTCTCTAGTGGGTGCGGAACGGCTTTTATAATTTCAAGAGTGTTTTTCGTGTTTATTATTATGTCTGAGTGAGTCATTGGGTGTATGTTAGAGTCTGTGGGTCAATTATTACCTAACCCCACATTAATTTCTAGTTAACTGATATTTCTGCCACAATTAAGATTGTACTGGGCTCCTTTTACTTACACTATTTTTTCTTTAGTTTCTGTAAATACATTTTTGAACATTACTCATCGGGGTATTATTTTATAAAAGTTATTTTCATTTGTCACCCCGCCCACACAAAAATTGCATATTTTGGGGCTAGTTAGAACTTTATGGTGAAATAGCGGTATTTTAGTAATGATATGTAAGAATGTGATGTTTTAGGAAAAGGAATAATATCGAATGCTTGGGTCAGTGTTTGCGACTAGCTTAGTTAAAGATAGGACAGATGATGACCAGCCGTCCCTAGCCCGTTCGAAAACTAATAACAATTATCTATCTATATTTCTGAAATGAGGTATTTAAACTATTTATACTATTTACATCGTTCGAACAGTTTTCTTCATCTTTATTGGCATATCCACAACGCTTCGGCTTTTGCACGCTCCGACCTTCGTCAGGCGATATACTTTGGAATTCCGAACCAAGGACACATAGCCCAATGGATAAAAGCGTTGGTTGAGCAATCCAAAAAGTGACTTGACCCAAAGAGTTGTGAGTTCAATACATGGCCATAGCAGAGATAACAAAGATTTTTAAAGTTGAGTTACTAAAAGGAATTAAATGATACTGAGTTTTCCGAAAAAGGCATGGCATGTGGAATTAGAACAATCTATCGCCATGGATAAAATAGAAGGTTCGTTTCGAAATTCGAACGTATATCCCCTGAAGCAGGATGCATTAAATGCTCTGTTGTTTAATTAAACATTATTAATTACATTTACCGGCCTGAATGTTCGAGAAATTTTGTAGAAAATAAGAGTTCTCAGACAGGAATCGAACCTGCATCCTATACAGAACTGTCATTAAGACTGACGTGCTATGACCGTTTAGCCATAGAGAACTTCCGCTTAACCAAGCACGAATTACTGCTTTTAAACACAGACCTTCGCCGATTTTTCTCGATCTATCATATCTGTTCTGAAATTGTAGCTTAACGTAAACAATAACAACATATTATATGTAATGGATTAAATCCAACAAGTATTTTAATATATTTTCTCTTTATACGTTTTTTATAGATACACTTATTTAAGTAAATGTTCTGTTGTTTAATTAAACAGTATTAATTACATTTACCGGCCTGGATGTTTGGGAACGCAAGTTTTCTACGAAATTTCTCGAACATTCAGGCGGGTGAATGTAATTAATACTGTTTAATTAGATAAATTATTACTCAAATAAGTGTATCCATAAAAATAATGTATAAACAGACCGAATGATGTAAATAGTATAAATAATAACAATTAGTGTCAAAATAAGTATATTACGATTACCATGTCTTCTTAGGAATTTTTACAAACCCTAAATCAGAAATAAAAAAAATATATTAACCCTTAAAATATTTTCAAACTGTAATGTTCCTTCAGAACGTAGGTTCTCCATAGACTTCTTTTAAATTTTTATAGCATTCACATTACCTTGATTATTTTAGGGAAATATACTAGACTTTTTTAACGTTCCCTTCTCCATTTCAGAATTCAGACTTGTCCTTCTCCTAAACTGGTTACTAACCAAGGTATCGAATTATCATGAGAACCCAATCTGCCGTACCATTTCACTCATAACTGGGATGAAAAATAAATGAGTCCCAGTGGTATAAATTTGAATTGAACGTCACAACTTCGGCTGGAATTTGAATTCGGTCTACCTATTCCTTTTTCCACGCCAATGCCCATTACGTCACCCCCACATCATTTATTAAAATACTATCATTTAAATCTTGCAAAGAGATAAGTTGTTCGATGTGCCTTAGAGTATGTTCGGAAATATGGATTAATGATGAACAATTAATGTTAGTGATAGGCCTGTAGCGACCCCCCCCCAATAATGAACTGGGAGGTGAAGGACTGCACTGAATTACACTAAGTCTACTCTTTGTCATCTTTAATAAAATGGGAACGGTAAGCAGCGAAATAACTTTCATTTTGCGATTTAATTTATTCCGATCTTCTCTAACCGCTACTTCGGTACTGTCTTATTCATAATCTAGCAATATTCACTCCAGTCCCTTGGAGGTGGGTGCATGTCAGCCAATATCGTGTTAGACAGACTTTCCCGTCTGAATTCCTTCTTCTGCCACACACACACACACACACACACACACACACACACACACACACACACACACACACACACACATACACATACACATATCTTTAAAAATATGCGTGGGTGGCGTTTATGAATACCGGTTAATGTACTCACAAACTTCTCCATGGGATCATGAACTTGCAATCCTACGTCGTTTCTATACTGTCTCGCCATGGGTCAGTGTCTCATTTCAGTTCTGCAGTAGCAAAAGTAGTAATGCATTCAGCTTATGGCAGTCCATAGATTATTCGATTACTACCACTGTCTTTCATATAAACTAAGACGATATTTTCTGTCTCTCAACATGGCTGATCTTCACATTTTCAAAATATGAATATTTCTAAAGAATCAGGTCTTAAGGTTAAGGTTAGTAATTGTCGCATTTCTGTGCGGCTGGTGTAATCGATAGCGACTATGAACGTAAAAATAGGACACCCGAGTTCGAATTCCGGTCGAGTTAGTTATATTCACTTACACGCAAAATACTCTTGCGAAAGTTATGAATTCATTTTTTCCTGCTCTATTTATGGGTTAAATAATATGATTTGTATCTGGAAAAACCATTGTTATCTCCCTTCATAAAAAAAGAATTTTTCTTACAATCCAAGATATGTTTCGGTTTTAAATAAACCGTTAAAAACAAATCAATCAATCAACAATGACAACATTCTAGGTTTGTATGACATCCGGTACAAGTCACAGAGAACGTTTCATTTTTATCTCCGCAAAAAGAACAGTCAGTTAGATGATACACGCTTAGGGGATCATGTAACTTTCGATACATGATTAACGATGCAGATCTTTTTCCCTGCAGTAGGTTGCCATTCTCTTTCTGCGGTAGACCAGTTGCCATCCAAGGCTATAGAACCCGGTCAGTCCTGCTATTTACCCATATCTGATGGGAGAAGAAGAGGATTCATACCTTCCCCGAGGGAATTAGCATGGAAGTGAATTAATGGATTCGACTTGAATTCGAACTCGGCTTTCCGATTCCTTAATCCAAGCTGCTATCCATTAGTCCACCGTCACTACACCGAAATAAATTGAAGAGTATATCGAAAATACTGGATGCAATATACACTTTTCTTTTTCTTACTAATTCACGTAGCAGTTTACGTATTTTTTTATTTTTTTTTTTTTTTGCTATCATACAGATAGATTTTTCTATGCCATGTCCCTTGATGACGTGGCCAGTTATTGCTCTCTACAGCTTCCTTTCTTTTTGTTGCCCTCGGCAATGCTTTCTCCTTTACGACCCTTCTTTGCCATTATGGTCTTTGTTTCTCCATTCATACTCATCAAGAAGGTTTACACATTGCTTTCCTCTTGCCCCTGATGTTCCCTGTGAGTGTTAAATTTTCCGTGTCTTCTTTCGTTATCATATACAGCAGAAATTTCCGCTGTCTCTTTCTGGTGTTATCATCAGTTTTATTTTTTGTAGTTACTAAAGACGTTTTCAGGGTCAAATTCTCTGTTCATTTTTTTCTCAACATTTGCCTATAGAAATGCATCTAAGTTACTTCAAGTTGTTTATCTATATTTGTAGCGAAATTGTTCAGAATTCTCTACCATATAAGATATTAAACGTCATATATGCTTGATCTTTTAATAACTTGCTCAGTTTCTGAACATCATCTTTTGCTATTCCTATGCATCTTCAGATTTCAGTGCCGTCGACTGTCAGGAGAATAGAAACTTTAAAACAAAATCATTATTCTCTCCTTTCATTTTCGCTTTCTCTTTTTTTTTCATATTGTACTTCTTAAAGTATTTATCTCCTTTTTCTTTTCATTTTTCCTTTCAAGCATATAAATGAATTCTAGATGAAGATATCGACATCTTTTTCAAATCATTGGTTCATTCATAATAAAAATGAGAAAAATATAGGTACACCATATTTTCTATGTCCAATTATTTTCTATCATACTATTTGCATGTCACAGGGCTTAAGATAGCGTTAAAATACCGGTTCCCATACGACCACCGAAGTTAAGCAACGTCGATCCTTGTCAGTACCTAGATGGGTGACCGCTTGGGAATACCAGGGGTTTGGATGTGCAGGTGATGTAATGGTTAATGCCTCGAAACTGTTAATCGGAGAGCTGAGTTCCAATTCCCGTTGGGTTCGTTATATTCACTTACGCGCAAATACTCTTGGGAAAGATATGAAACCACCTCTTCTCTCTCCAGTTATGGGTTAATTAGTAAGACTTATATCACTAAATCATTATTATCTCAATCTTACAATGTAAAATATTTTCTGGCTTTAAATAAACTGCAAATGGTTGATAAGCGATAGAAAACGAATTAGTCATATGTCACAAATCTGTTAAGCAATGGGATAACTTTAAAATGGTAAAGCCATCTTGTTTGATTCAAATTTATTTGGTTAAACAAAATAAGTGCTCTTGCAATAAAGTTAAATTTGTGCATTTGTTAATTGGACACTTCTCTACTACGAAATCATCCTCGTTTACTTCTTCGCGGGATACTATGCAATTTTTAAGTAAGTTAACTGTTTAAGTGGATAGTTACAACAAATCCACTAAGAAAAAGCGACCATCTCTGAAATTTTAACTAGTTTGGGGCAACACAGATACTGTTTTATTTTTCTCTACTTCTCGAATTCTACGAGCAGCTTCAATGGGTTTAAAGACTGGTATAAATCAAATCACACAATTGCAATTACATAGCTATTATTACCTCTAAAACAAATGGCACATGAGAATAATAGTGATTGTAGATGGGGCGGCTAGACATAAAAATTTTGCTTTCCGATTATGAAACCCAGTTCGAATCTGTTATCACTCTGAGGAAAAGAGTCCAGCGCTAAAAAAAACATATCTCAGCTTAATCAAGCCTTGTGAGTTAAACTGGGTAGACAGATCTATTCAAAAGGCATGGATGGTTGTGATAACACAAAATAAGATGTCATTATGCCCGAGGGTTTGAGCACACTGTCCTTGTTCAAACTGTTGATCACGCTCCATTATGTGTTTTCTCTAAGAAACTGTAACTAAAACCGATTCAGCATATTACAGTATAATCCACAGATGGGCTCTGTGGAGATTATCACACTTCTCATTTGTGGAATTTTTTTCCAGCGTCTTGCTTTCCAACCAACTTTGATCTGCAAAGATTTTATTGAAATGTCGATCGTTATCTACTGTCGTGACTATTCTTCTATTCTTCTTTCTCCCTAATGTTTCTCTTCTTTTCTTGTTCTTCTTCACTCAGTAACCCCTTATGTCTTAGTGTCTATACTGCCTTGATTGGGGTGAATTCGAGTTATTAGCATTTCAAACACAATAAGTCGAAACTAAATCACTAATTTCAGATTTTGGGGCGAACTACAATCCTTGGTTCCAACCTTCGCAACTAGAACCCACCTGGCTACATACACTGAGTTGACTCAAACTCATTCCCTTTGATAAGGAGATAATCTCACTCAGACAGCTTTTTTCCTTACTATTACAATCTTAACCTCTTCAAATCGAGGTTTCAACTATCATGTACCCTCCATATTTTCATATGTACCTCCTGCCCCACTGAACACCCTTAAAGCAACATCTAGTTTGAATTGGCCTTTCGGCTTTGTACTGTGTGAACAATCGCAAAAAGAAAATTTTAAAGAAAATTCCATTCCATCAGTTGTTCATACATTCGGTGTTTTAACCGATATATCGATATTTTATTTCATAAAGATTTAAGAAATCATTGAAATGAGTAAACATAAATTGAAAACATTTTAATATAAAAGTTCATTTTCATACTCTTTCATTTTAGAAAGTTACATACTGACGATTATATCATTCACTATATACTGAAAATATTTCTTATATAATAACAATGTTAGACAGACGACATTATAATTGCAATCCTTGTTCATTAAATACCAATACTATTATGCATATAATATATATCTTACTTTTTTTCCTGGCAGGATGCTACGGGTTGTCTGGTTTGGATTGCTTGGTCTTGTCTCCCTCCCACCGAACAAGAATTGGCGGCTCCCGGATCACGACAAATTCCTCCACCCAAAGTTAAACACTCCAGCCATACCAACAGTTCCAAGCTTCGACCTTATACCAGACGTTGACAGTAGTCACAGATTTAGAGGTGGAGTCGGTACCAAGATTGGACATAGACCATACTATAAATTTATATTGCATAAACGGACGCCTTGTCAAATGATTTGCTCTTACTGTGGTAATCAGCGATGGAAGAATTTGTGCAATCAGTCGAATTGTGACCGAAACTCAAGGGCTTACCAATTGTGTGTAGCAAGGAAAAATGCCAAAAGATAGAATCGGAATCCACTCGAATGAGTGAATGATTATACAAGAAACATTAACGAACTCCCAAAACTTACGTGCGAAGCCCTCTCACGGAGATTACCGAACGTAAGAAGAAAGAGGAAACGCTGATTTATATTGCATTTAATCATTTTCTTGTTTTATTAAGATACATAACGTAAATAAATACTTCCGCATTATTCTAATAATTCCAGAGATTTAATTATTATTTCTTCAGTGACCAGTAATAATATCAGTGGATTTAAATGGTTATTTTTTTAATTGTTTTTAACAGGTTGCAAGAATATCATTTTTCGAATGTTTCTTAATTCTTCACTGAGCTTGTAACATTTGTCATGATATTCAAAACAATGCTTTTACGAATTTGAACACCAATTTTCACGTCATTCATGATTAAAAAAAATCTGCAGTTTTTTTAATGCGTTATTTTGATCCCTGATATAACCACATATTCCATTTTTATGTGTTTAAAAAACATTTATGCGAAATGTAAGAATCATGGGAGTTTTCTTCCATCTCGAAATTTCACACACGTGTATAGAGAGATATAGAGAAAAACACAGACAATTTGTGGTTTACGTTCTAATCTTCTAAAACAATATGTACTTTCATACTGATTTTCCAGGCAAGCCAACCCTCCCAATTAGGAATGTTGACATAATAATCTTCCTTTCTATAATTTGGGCTTGGATCAGACGAAAAAAGCTGTGTGTAAGCAAAACTTACGTTATTGGTAACAATACTGATATTTTCAGCAACTATTGCATGTTATGCTTTTATGAAAACAAATGTCAGTCATATTTTACAGGGTTAAAATTTATTTTCCCCTGCAGGTTTAATATCTTGGTAAACCAGAATACAATTACCCCTCTCTAAATATTGCATTTTAAAATAAAAATAAGAATCTCATGGTATTTTAAGGAACACTATTCGTTTGACATTTCTAAATAAATTTCGATTAAAACTACACAAAAATTTCAAAAGAAACTTCTATATTATTTAGAAATTGTTTATTGGTTCCATTTTCATATTAATAATACAGATCGACACTTTAGGCATTTAGTAAAAACAAGTTTAGTTTGAAGTGATTCGTACGATTTTTATTGTAGGACATTAGCTAAACTATTGAACTCTTTCAAAACATGAGAAGTTACGTTAGTTATTCATTAAAATTCAAAACTAATTGGGTTATCTATGAAATTCACAATTATAAGAAGCAGATTCAGTTCTTATCATGTTTTTCTTGTCGACTTTTGCCAGCACTATCCTCTGCAGTTCTGTAATTGTATCATATTCATTAATGGTGTCGGAAATACACTTTATTGTTTTGACGGCAACTGATTTTCAGATACATGGACACATGAGGAATTTATAAATATTAGCAAAACTCAAATTTTGACCATCAGGAATAGTTCTATTCATAAATGTTTATACCTCAACTGACAAGTTTTGTGCGCGTATGAATACAGAAATTTATATAAAGTACATTTTTGATTTTGTTCTATTTATTGTTCTTATTTCTTTCTCCGAAAATAACTATAGTTAAACAAATTACTGTTTGGTGGCTAAAGCTGTTGCTTAATTCTCACCACATATATTAGTTGGTAGTCAAACCCAAATAAAACCAAGAATTGTTAATGATTTTCGAGGTAGGTGGGCAAGATCTCACCACTAGGTAGATTGGGATAACACCTTCTAAATCCGCTATTCCTTTAATTCTTAAATAATCCATTTAGTCTGTTACTAGGCAAAAATAAGTTTAATAAATATCTATATGTATTAATAAAAGTATACACGCATGAAGATATCAACAAGAACGCGCATATATTTTCTCTCATATATATATATATATATATACTGTTTCTTCGTTTTTCAAAGAGTAAAAGAAATTAAAACCAAATTAAAACAGGTAATAATCCTTCGCGCACAAATGTCAATTAAATCACACAAATACGATAGTCTGGAACCTTAAATTAACAAGTTAACAAACCATGTAGTCAATATTAATCACATTATGACATGGACGTAGTTATATATATATATATATATATATATATATATATATATATATATTAAAAAAATGGATTGGAACCAAGGTGAAAATACAGAACGACTATGGTCGACATAGAGTGCATAATTAAGATAATAAAACCTCAAATTGAAATTATAATTACAATTTATAATGAGATGGAAATTCATATATGAGCTTAAAATTATAATTCATATGAGATTGAAATTATAATTCATAATATGAGATTTTAAAAAATGAACCATGATTTAAAACACCCTAATGAAAGGTAATAGTTCCTAATATAGGAGCTAAGTCAAAAAAGGCACAGACAACGAGGCAATTGTCACCAAAAATCATTATTTTAAAAATCATGATAATTTAAGCGGGCATCATGGATATCTGAGTAGAAAAATGTCAGTGCCGTAGGTCATGTTCGAATCTCACTGACTGTCCCAAACATTAGACACTAGACAAACACATATACAAACTCTTTCTCTTTCTTTCTCCTTCTCCTCTCTCTCTCTCTCTCTCTCTCTCTCTCTCACACACACACACACACACATAGAAACAAACGTACACACAGACATGCACACATGCAAACTTATGACTATAAGCTTTACTGTAAAATCTTCAGTAGAAACACGGCATTATGCGTACATCTGGTGCTTGTAGGTTCGTCTCCCACGTAGCTGCTCCCCGATGCAGTGATAGAGAGCATTTAA